GGGGGGGCCCCCCCCCCCCCGCTTAATTTTCTCTGAGTTTTCCCTGCCTTCTCTCAGCTATTGATGTCCTTGGGTTTCCTCTCCCCGAAACGTGGGTTTCAGTTGAGAGAGAGTCCATGTGTGGATCGTTTCGTACATCCTTCGTGTTCCCACAATCTGGGTGGGAGAGAAGCCCATCATTAGAACAGGCGAGCACGTAGCTCAGATCCTGGCTCAATATAGTTAACATACAAATATGCCCATCTCCGTATAAAATGTGTAAGTAGGAATATCAAAGCCTAAAAGAAAGGCTCTATGTCCTTCACATTGCTTTGCTGTTCTTTCTCTTCATTGTTTTGGCCTGGAAGAACCATCTAACAGCCTGATCTTTGCTGCAGCTTCAGTTGTGCGGCGGGCGGGGTGGGCATTATTTTGTCTGGAAAGCAAAGCAACCTTTGACAAAAAGAGGCCGGATGCAGCGGAAGGACAGTGACAGTGATGCATGACAAAAATGGATCAATAAGTCCAAGATCCCAACCACCAATAGTTGCTTTACGATTCATTCAGATGATTATTTTAGGGGATAAGTCAGCCTTTGACTTCTCACCTGCAGGGTGAGAAACAAAGTCACCCCTTCCTTCCAGACATTCCCTGAATCAATATTGATTCCACCAGCTTTTGTTCTGGTCCCGGATCCTTCTCAGTAGTTCCCACTTCAGTGTACTGGGAGTGAGCCAGATTCCCCTCACACTAGCTGCCTTTGAAGAACACACTTAGCTAGTTGCAGAATCCTCCCTTGAGGAGCTTATTTGAAGGAAAGAAGCTGCTGCTGAATGGGAAATATGGAGACCTGCGTGGCATCTGAACCGTCTATCTGTCCTGAAAGAGCAAATGAACCTGAACCCTTTCCCAGCCTGCTCTAGCCCTCTGGTTCACCCACGTCAGGGGTTAAGAGTGTGTGTCGGTCTATGTGGGCGCATGTGGGTTCCTAAATAAATAAGGGAAGAGGAAGAGGCACAACGTTTTCCTTTTCATTGGCATGGAAGTCCTTGTGCAACTGTTCAAGGTGTCTGTTGTTTTCGCCAAAGAAAAGCTGCAATTGTAGTTTGAAGAATTTCTAAGGAGGATGAGCTACTGTAGGTCTGGTGAAGTGAATGTAAAAGGGAATGGGGAAAAAGGAGCAACTTGGATTTTTTGCTTTCTATCACTTATTCTAAGCCATCCTGAAATCCACAAAGGACAAGTGGCTTAAAAAATGCCTCAAGGGATTAATTAAGATATGAAGAGAGAGCAATCAATCATACCTCAGTGACTCCCTATTGATTATGAATTGATGGGCTGCCAACAGTAAGACTTGATTCAACGTTGTATTTGTTCCATATCTTCCTCCTTTTACTAAGTTCCTTTTACTGCTTTGACCCTTTGATATTCTTTAACTGCCCTTTCTAGCCACAGTTTAGAGTCTCATATGAAAATAAAATTAAGCAAATTGATCATCATAGCTAATCAATTCCACTGATGTTAAATGAAGCCTATTGATCTACACAGCCCTGTCATATTATAACATTATCCAGAGATGCTAGTGTTCTTGTTCTTAGATGTGTGTTTTTTTGTTTTTTGATGGCCTGTTTTGCATTTTTCTAGTTGAGAACGAAGATGAGGCAGAAAGAGTTCTGTTTTCCTATGGATATGGTGCAAATGTTCCTACAACAGCCAAAAGGCGGTTGAAGCAAAGGTAAATACGGTGTCAGCTTTCACACCAGTTTCCCAAAACCAAGGGATTTGGAAATAGCTTTAATGGGGGTGGGGGGGAGGCATGCCTTTCTTCCCCTACATGCCCCCCCTTTTAAATCAAGGTGCATCCTGTAGCCATCCATAATCAAGTTATCGACACTTAAAGCAGAGGAACACAATATCTACCTCCTTCGAAATAAAACTTCAACAAGAAATCTAAGTCACAAAATATATCCTGCCCTCTCAAAATCATCCTGGCATTGTGAATTGGGGCTTAGGCATGACAAGATAGGAGAAACAAGAGAACAGAGGAGACATGCAAGAGAAATTGAGGGAAGTAGCTAGAGAGGATATTATACAGTGCAATCCATATGGTAGCATTTTCAACAAAAGTCAGAAATATTTACCATTCTTTTATTCTTCAATATTTTTATCCCCATTACAAATATTGAAGAATAAATATTTTTCTACTTTCAGGGCAAAGCATATCTGACTTATATTTCTATACCAGCAGCATGCTCCCCACCCCTTGTGGTGCTGTTTCCACCACTGGAAAACTAACCAAGATGGTGCAGTAGTAGTACGGGGAACACATTGTCATCATCCACACTTGAAGTTATGGTCCATATTCTGGCACAACTACTCAATAATTCATCAGTTCCAAAGCCATCTCCCTGCCCAATCAAAATTAAACACAAAATGTGGTTGTTAGATTGAGATCCAAGGCGAGGTGTACACTAAGATGCTTGGAAAAAGGCGTTATTTTTCTCTCATTACCAGTATGTTGTTTTTGTCTAGGCTGTGGTTCAGTTACTGTAAGAGAACCTATTAAACTACTTCTTCCCTTCTAAAAGTCAAGAATGATTCCCTGATTTTAATTAAGGTGAAAGGGTTACATTTTTATTCTTTTCTAAATACAATAGAATGCAGTTTTTTCTCTCCCACGTACAAAGGTTTATTCCCCTTGTAGCAAAAATGTTACTTCGATGCTTATGGATAATATTAGTGTTACTTTAGAATATGAAATTACTGGGGTTTTCCTGTCTGAAAATGCCATATTCCCTTTTATGGCCTTTGGAAGAGTCTGCAGAAACTGCATTACGGCATTGGTTTTGAATGAACTGGAATCTGAATCCTAGAGATGGGGAGGTCTTTGGGGCAAAGAGTTCAGCCTCCTGCTCCACGCGGGAATATGAAATAAACATCCCAAACCTGTGGCCATCCAGTGAAGAGGAACTCAGGTCCTGCACCCTGGAAGAAACAAGAGGAAGTCTTAGCCTTCTGTGCAATCTCTTTCCAGATCTTTGAAGAGGGCTATCCTACCCCCCTCCTGTCTTCTGGGGCTAAGCATATCCAGTTTCTTTCATTTCTGTGCATGGGACTAAGTTTCTTATGCTCTGGTCATCCCTGTTGCCCTTTTAAGAACATCTTCCAGTTTCTCTGAATCCTTCTTAAAGAGTAGTATTTGGAATGGGACACAGTACTTGAGGAAAGGTATGACCAAAACACAATAAAGTGGAATGAATACTTCCTGTGATTTGGAAATTATGCTTCTGCTAATGCAGTCTAAAACTGCATTTCCCTTTTTGCAGCCACAAAGGCAGGATAAAAAATCTAAAAAACAACAACCAAATATTGAAGAGTAGATGGCCCAGAACTGAGTTTTGTGGCAGCCTTGATGCCCCTTTCTGGTTTGATCAGAAGCCCTTGATGAGCACTCTTTGAGTACAGTTTTTGAGCCAGCTGTGTGAGTACTTAAATGTCATCCAACCCACACTTAATTGGCTTCTGCTAAGCATGTCATAGGACACTTTGTCAAATGCTTTGCTGAAGACATAATGTAGTTTGTCTGCAGCATTAACGATCTATTAAGAAAGGTAGCTGATCAACAGAGGAGATAAGCTTAGTCTGACTAATACTTAGCCATGCTGACTTCTGCTGATTACTAGTAAGATCTGTGTACTGGAGTGTCTAGTCTATGAAAATCCAGAACAATTCATTTATATAATGTTGCTTGCTGCCTTTTTGGAATAATCATGGAATCCTAAAGCTGAATTAGATAAATACATGCACAAAACGCCACTGATTTCTTACAATTTGGAGCAAGATTAGTGGGATCTTTAACCCTGTTCCTCACCGTCTGGGTTTTGCTGCAACTTGCCTTCATAGCATGCCAAGTCTGTAGTTACCCCGTGGGAGGAGAAAAGTCTGTACAGGGATTGTAGAGGGCCTGAGGAAGCTCCTGCTTCTCCATGGACTCCTCCTCTTCGGGAGCTCCTACTCCACAGAAGGAGTTCTAGGGTAGGGTTAAAGTCATTTTTGAATCGAACCTAGCTCATCTAGTGCGATGTTTCCTAAACCCTCTTTCTCTCCCCGTGGGCTCTTTGCATCAATGAGGATTCAGTGGGTCACTTTCAGCTCTTCCCACAGCACCCCAAAAGGCTGTCCTGGCTAGTGGGGATCTTCCACAGCCGCAGGAAGCCTAGTGCAAGCACCCTCAGCATGAAGAACGGGCACTTCACAGACTCGTTTTCATCCCAGACTCTCAGTCCTCATTCCCAGTTTCTCACCTTGAACTCTTGGTGTTTCAGCTATATTTGTTAAGCATCAGTATGCAGTTCATTTTTCAAGTTACTGCCATAACTAACTAACTAACTAACTAACTAACTAACTAACTAACTAAATAAATAAATAAATAAATAAATAAATAAATGGTTATTGCAAGCAAATATTATATTAAAAATCAGTACCATAATTTAAAATCTTTGTTAAAAATAATAATAATTCAGCAGGTACATTAGAAATGGTTGAACAAGCTATTGGGAAGAAAAGAAAAGAAAAAGGACCAGGAAAAAAACGGAGGGAAAAAAATGGCCTGATGGCAAGTCATGGGAAATGTCAAGTTTAAAGACAGAGATTTTAAGATTGTACACTTTCTGGAGCTTCAAGGTAATCATTAAAATTGTGGGAAAATGCAGAAAATATTTTTATTTTTAAAATAAATATTTTTAA